TTCCGATTGCTTCCAGTCCCACCGCAATCTCCTCAAACTGTTCGACAGTCACGACCGCAATGCTGCCAAAAGATATGTAGAGAACGGAAGCCTTTTCCTGCTTGTCGAGCCACCGCAGGCACTCGTCGTCCTCGTTCCTGAGCACCACGTTGGTTGGTCCGATCTCGGAGGTCTGCTCGTCCAGGAGAAACATCGGACCGACGGAGAGAAACTCCGTGCCACCTTTGCGGAGCTCGGCCGCCATGAAGTCGGAAGCTTCCGGCTCCAGATCGTAAAAGGAGTTGACGAGCACGCAGGAGGCCTTGCGGATGTAGGGGACTCGCTGCACGGAGTACTCCGCCCAGAGATGATCGTCAGCTTGCAAGTAGAGAGGTATGTCGGCTTGATGAAGAGGTCCCAGTCCCTTGATAATCCCCACTACAGATTCATCCGCGACAAGCTTCTTCGCTGCAAAATTTTGAGGCGTATGTGAATGCCATTGAAAGTGGAGTTACCTTCGGTCAAGCTGGGAAAGACATGGCCTCCGGCGATGAGCTCGGGTATGTGATACTCAATCGTGGTCCAGGCAGCGGATCCAGGCCACAGAACAATCCTTGGAATCCCGAACTTATCAGCAACGTCCTGGGTCCAGAAGAAGAAGTAGTCCGAGATTATGCAGCGGACCGGCGAGATCTCGAGAGAGAGTTTGGAGACGAGATGCTCGAGAGCTGGGATCATCTCGGTGGTGGTCTTGAAGAACTCACCCAAGTGAGTGAGAGTGTAAGCATCCAGGCCGTGTGGGATCTTCCAGGAGAGTGGGATTGAGACGAGGCGGAGGTCCGTATTGGGTGGAGCTCTCCAGTGCTTGATCATCTCGTCGTGGAGGCTGTCGACATTGACGAACGAGACGGTGAATCCATCTCGAGCGGCGATCTTTTTACAGAGATGCATCATCGGAGTGATGTGTCCCTGGCCTGGGACGGGAAATGCGAGGACATGAATATTTGGAGACGACGTACCTTGAGAAGCCATAGCCACGGCAAGACTGGATGGGACAAACCTTTAGAAAGTTTGAAAAGAATTGGCCTCTTGCTAGTTTTGTTTGTCGACTTTTAAATCTTGAGATCAGGAAAGTCAAACCTTGCTCGACGTACATTCTGAGAGTTTTCTAAAGATTGATCATGTGTTTGAGACTAAGATTCTTGCATTGTCGTTCATCACAGGTACGCGAGAAGGATCCAATGGGAATTTCCAGACAAACATGAGGCATGGAACTGCGGTGTGTATAAACATTTGATTTAGTGATTCTCAAGCTTTCTATCAGATGCTTATGTAAATCAAGAGCATGCTTTGCTGGGAAAGCTCACTGTTCTGGAGACAATCACTTACTCTGCTTATTTGAGGCAGCCTACCACGCAGCCAAAAGAGGAGATGGTTGACAGTGAGATGGGGCTTGGAGACAGTGGTTCTCGCATGGATTGAGTGGAGGGAAGAAATGAAGAGTGAGCATTGCTTTGGACACTCAAACGCAGTCATGTCTTAGTGGTTTAGAGAAGTAATTATTATGTCTGATTTATTTGATGATTTTCTGTGCAAATGTAGGCGCACTTTTATCATGTCAAATTCATCAGACAAGTAGCAAAGTGTTTTAGCAGTTTAATAATCTTTTCTTAATCTCTCAAGTGTATATTTTGGAAATACCATGGAAGATAGCATGGTATTCTTCTTAGAATTATCGACTTGGACTTTGACAGTGTTTAAGGTATTTTCATCTGTATAGCTTTTTAGGAAATTTTTCTTAATGATCTGAACAGGAAGATATTAGACTAAGGCATTTGGCTAACTCAAAAGATAATTACGAAGCAATCAAAGTGCTTACAAATGCATTTCTTACAAAAGCATATTATGTTCTAGTTCTCAGTTTGCATTTGAACTCCACCCCACACAAAAGTTAGGTGAAGGTTGAAGACAATTTGGGTGACACTTACTAGATGCCAGAAGATCATTTATAAATATGACAAGTGAAACGTGAATGACAAGCTCACGAAGCCATACTTTTAATTTTAAGCATTTATTTTCTTAGAGGTCCTACTATTAATTTTAAACATCAGAATTTTCCCATCTATGAGCTGAGTGAGTTTGATGATAGTAATAAAAATTCCTCGATAAACCAAAATCATGCTTAACAGGATTATAAAGTTCAACCATTTAGATCTTGAGAGATCTATTTGATATTGTTTAAGAATTGTTGTTCCAGATAGAAACTCAAGCCCTTGAAAATCATTTTCATAAAGACCCTGTTATAATTTTTTGGAAAATAAATAATATTTGTTTAACCTGAAATAAATATGTTTGAAATGCTATATAATGCATTGGATATTTCCAAAAGCCTTTTGGCAGTTCATTAGCAAGTTTAAAAAATCCGTCAACAAGCATGAATAACCCCTGAAAAATCGCATTAGAAACAGTTTAAGAAATATAAAGAGATTTTACCAAGATTCCAGATCCTGTAATTATTCCCATGAGAAAATTGGGAACAATTGATCCTACACACATCATCAAGCTCTCCACCACAGTCACAGTTGCAAATAATTTCAACACAAAAAAAAATGAAGTGATCAAAGCCTGGGTGGAGTTTAACCATATTATAAAATACACTTGTTTATATCAATGAAATATGAAGGATATAAGGAATGGAAGAAAGTGTGTTTGAGAGAGTAAACACAATGAGACCATAGTAACCATTTTGTTTCTCATGATTAAAAACCTGAAGAAAATATCACTGGATATGAAAGCAAGACAATTGAGAACTATCCTATACCTTAATCTCTTCAATGAAAGATGGAAAACCTCCAATTGACATAAATGTAAGAAATTTACCAATAAAAGCCATACAGCCAATCCTTGCCTTAAAAAAAAAACAAACGAGCTTAACCATGGTTAGGAATATTTTTTGGTATTCTCTTACTGCAATGGAGTTGTATTTAGTGCCAACATTAAAATATATACTGCCAATAACGATGCTAAGCATAAAGTATACAAAGATTCTCAGCCGATAGTATCCAATATCTCTTGTCATAATTATAAATGATCTTCTAGTTAACGTGGAAAGCTGATGGAGAACTCCTGCATCTGGATCATTCATTCTATAAATAGTAATCCATTAATAATCATAATATTCTAAAAAATCAAGTCATTTAGGTGTGTCTCACAAACTGTTTAGAAGGTTCACCTTAGTCACACAAAGAATGTCAACTTTTGTGTGGAGGGATCTCAAATGCAAATTTTGAAATGCATTTGTAAGCACTTTGATTGCTTCAGAAGCTGGAACTATTTCTTGAGTTTCAATATCTTCCTGTTCAAATTGAGATGAATATTAAGAAAAACACTCTAAGAAAAAGTACAAATGAATACCTTAAACTTGTTTTGAACATTGTCAAAATCGGAATTAATAACTCTAAGATAGTGGTCTGATGGATTTCTTCGGAGAGGACAAGGAAATCCAGCACTGTCGAAAAACTAAAATAAAATATAAACCATAAAGAATATTAAATTTGAGAAAAGTACCATGCTAGCTTCCATGGCAACTCCAAAATATACCAGTGCACCCTGAGATAGTAGGCAAAGATTATCAAACTGCTCAAACACTTCGCTACTTGGCTGGTGAATTGACATAATAACGGATGCACTGCAAAGAAGAACATCAAATAAAAATTACGATAAGCCGGACTTAAAAATCATATAAATATCACCTGTCTAAACCACTGGTTGGTTCGTCCATGAATAAAAGAGATGGCTGTGTTAGAATCTCCAAAGCAATGCTCACTCTTCGTTTCTCCCCTCCGCTCAATCCACACGAGAACCAACCTCCCACCACTGTATGCTTGCAATCTCCAAGCCCCATCTCAGTGATCACACTCTCAACTATCTCCATCTTTTGGCTTCGCGGCAGCGAGTAAGTTAGCAGAGTAAGTGATTGTTTCCAAAACAGTGAGTGTTCCCAGCAAAACATCCTCTTGTTTCACATAGGCCTATGACAGAAAGTTTGAGAATCACAGAATCAAATGTTTATATACACACCACAGACCCATGCCTCATGTTCGTCTGGAGATTCCCATTCTGGTATGATGTTCTGACGGTGTTATTACTTTCGTGTAGCTGAGCAATCACGTTGCCGCAATGGATGATCCTTTGGTCACACAAAAATGGATCCTTCTCGCCTCGCATTCTTGGCCAATCTACCTGTGATGAACGACAATGCAAGAATCTCGAGCTTTAATCTATTGCACCCAAATCAATCTTGGAAAACTATACCAGCAAGCGCATCGAGCAAGGTGGACTTTCCGGATCCCGAAGGACCCATGATCGCGGTGATTTGGCCGCTCTGGGCATAGCCGGACATACTCTCCAGCAACACTCGTCCATTGCTCGCGCTCACACTCAAATCCTTCCATGCCACATCCATAATAATATATCAATTCTTCTTTCTCATGAACACTTGGGTAAGATTTATAGCTCTCCAAGTTAGACTTGGACTTTCAGCTATTGTAACACGGTAAGATCTTCGATTCGTAGGAGATTAATAGTGTAAAATATTGTTTACTTTCTTTCTTGTGTTGACTTGACTTTCCCATTCAAAGTCTATCCAAACTCTCGAAATTCTCCAAACTCTCGAGTGTCTTCTTCTCAGGAACTTTGGCATTCCAAGGACCGCTCTCTGGACATATCTTGTCTTTTCGAAAGGTAATTAAATTCTTCCATGTCACGCCTCAATGCTCTGCAAGGAAGAAGCTTGTCAACAAAAGACTAGGACTTCATAATCACGCCGACGTACCTCTCCACTAAGGCGACGGGTGCTTAGAATTTGCCAAGGTTGACAAAACATGTCGTTTCCTTGACCATGTTTCTCCTAAAGTGATCTGGAAAAATAGGACAGAAATCCATTGGGCATCTGTGAAGACATTTTCCTCACGCGGTGCACTAAAACAGGATATTTGTGATGGCTGAAGAGGAGCTGGAGTGTTAAGAACAAGGTAAGTTTGCAAACGATGTCTTACAGTAGCGAACGTATTACAAGCAAAGTAAGAGAGGCTCACCAGCAAGACGATGAGGTGCTTTGCTCCAAAGTCGGCTTCCAAGGTCGGCGAGGTAACTCCCAGCATCGAGGAGGATTGGCAGCCAGACTTCAAGCCCAATCCTTTCAAGTTCTTCAGGCCCTTTGACGATGAGCAAAAGTGTGTCTGGCTCAGATCCCAGATCATCGGCTCCCAGCTCCAAATCTCCACACCATTCGGCAGCAGGCCTCTCACTTATGCCGATTACACTGCCTCTGGCCGCTGCTTGTTCTATATAGAAAACTTCCTCATCAAGCACGTCATGCCGTCCTACGGTGAGTAAAGCCGTGAATCCTCTTCTGCATATCTGGACCCGCTGCATTCTGTTTCAGGGAACACGCATGCCGAGGACAGCTACGTCGGAGAGAAGACCACCCGGATGGTGAAACTGGCCACGAGTTATGTCAAGGAGTCCCTGGGAGGAACCGAGGATGATGCTCTCTTCTTCTGCGCCTCTGGAACCACTGCAGCTGTGAAAAAGCTCCACGAGCTTTTGGGCTTGTCTGTACCGCCCCAGATGAGAGAGTCAGCCGTGGCAGCGATCGATGACTGGAAGAGATGGCTGGTGTTCATAGGCCCATACGAGCATCATTCCAACCTTCTTCCCTGGAGGCAAAGTCTTGCCGAGGTTGGGCTTTTTCGTTTCTTTCAATCTGTCAACTGTTTAAACCACAGGTTATTCAAGTTCCAATGACCGAGGATGGATTGATTGACATGAAGTACCTCGAAGAGGAGCTGCAAAATCCCAAGCACGCAGATCGTCCAATGCTTGGCTCCTTCTCCGCTTGCAGTAATGTCACGGGAGTTTTAGCGGACACTAGAGCCATCGCTCGCCTTCTACACAAACATGGAGCATTAGCATGTTTTGATTTCGCCAGCTGGTAAGACGAGATCTTTTACCAAGGACGAAACGAAGCTTACTTGCCGAATCTGATCAACAGTGGTCCATATGTGAAGATCAACATGCGATCGCGAAAAGCTGATGGATACGATGCTGTGATGCTGAGTCCACACAAGTATGTCGGAGGGCCAGGAACGCCGGGCCTGCTTTGCATGAACAAAAAGCTCTACAAGCTCAAGGATCACGCACCGTCGACAACAGGCGGAGGAGTGGTAGACTTCGTCAACTACAACAAAGAGGTCAGTTCCCTTTCCAGCGAAAGAAAAAAGAAAACCAACACTAAACAAACTCATACCAGGACACACTCTACCTGGAGGACATTGAAAGCCGAGAAGACGCTGGAACACCTTCCATACTCCAGCGGATAAAAGCCGGGATTGTCTTCACTGTCCAAGAAGAAATGGGATACCGTCTCATCGAGTCGAGAGAGCACATCTTCATCACCACCGCGTTGAAAAGGTTGTCCAAGAACCGAAAGATAGTGGTGCTCGGGAACAAGCAAGTGAAACGAGCAGCGATCGTCTCGTTCGTCGTCCGGACCACTGATTCCAACGGTGGAATCCAGCAAACCGTGCTGCAAGGCCGGTTTGTAGCCAAGCTCCTCAACGATTTGTTTGGGATCCAGTCGAGAGGAGGGTGCTCGTGTGCCGGTCCTTACGGCCACTCGCTTCTCAAAGTCAGTGATGAGCTCTCCCTGAAATTTCGAGCAGCAATTCAAGAGGTTGAGAAGCAAAACAATAGAAGGTTTCGCCAAGGAGCTTTTGCTAACGAGGAAAGAACTTTTTTTTTTTCTCACAGGGATATAGCGGTGTCAAACCTGGATGGACGCGCTTGAACTTCGCATACTTCCTCTCCAAGGAAGAGTTCCATTTCTTGCTGTGCGCCATAGAGTTCGTGGCGGACTATGGCCAGCGCTTTCTCCCCCTCTACGAGTTCGAGTGGCAGACTGGGAACTGGAAATACGAGGAGAAGAACAGCATCAACACCACCGCCAAGGCCACATTACACAAGGAATGGACCAAACTCCCACTGCTCCAGCAGCATAAAGATTACCTGGGTACCGCTATGGCGATTGCCAAGCAACTGGCTCACGATCCAGGACAGAGCAGCACGGCGCCCGCCGGCATTGATCCCGAGCTCGTTACCTTCCGATTCTAGGGTTCTTGAGCGCTATGTACTAGTACATTCGTTTCGCATCAATTCAAACAAAAGTTTGTGTTGGGATATATATACTTTACGCAACCCATCTCCAAAGTCAACGAGTCTTTCAGTGACTTCGCAAGACTCTCTAAAGATTGAGCACGTGTTTGAGACTAAGATTCTTGCATTGTCGTTCATCACAGGTAGATTGTGGGGCGAGAAGGATCCAATGGGAATTTCCAGACAAACATGAGGCATGGGACTGCTGTGTGTATAAACATTTGATTTAGTGATTCTGAAGCTTTCTATCAGATGCTTATGTAAATCAAGAGCATGTTTTGCTGGGAAAGCTCACTGTTCTGGAGACAATCACTTACTCTGCTTATTTGAGGCAGCCTACCACGCAGCCAAAAGAGGAGATGGTTGACAGTGAGATGGGGCTTGGAGATAGTGGTTCTCGCATGGATTGAGTGAAGGGAAGAAATGAAGACTGAGCATTGCTTTGGACACCCAAACACAGTCATCTTTTAGTGGTTTAGAGAAGTAATTATTATGTCTGATTTATTTGATGATTTTCTGTGGCTTGATATGTGATTAGATCTAGGTGCACTTTTATCAATGTTTTAGCAGTTTAATAATCTTTGCTTAACCTCTCAAGCAAAGTGACTTGTATATTTTGGAAATACCATGGAAGATAGCATGGTATTCTTCTTAGAATTATTAATTCAGACTTTGGCAATGTTTGATGAAGAGGTAAATGTTTTATTTTGTATATCTTCCCAAATAGAGCAGAAGAAAGAAGCTTAGATGAAATGAAATTATGCCTAAGCTTAAGTATCCAAAAAAGAAAACTTGACTTAAGCAATGCTTGTCATAGACAAACATGAAATAGTTAAAAACAGTTATAAAATCATGTAGTATATAAATAACACTTAGACGTGCTAAAAAATAACCCTCGCTCACTATTGTATGCATTTGCATTGAATTAACCATTTTTTCTCCCACTTATGATTGTTTGTACAAAGTAAAGTTAAAAAATAACATATACTTATTATTACTCACGCCTTTGGGGTTTGAGGCTGAGTTCTATTATTTTCTATTTTCTTCTCTCTTTTTCTTTTACATTCTTATCTATGTTTTTTGTCACTATTTTGCAGGCATGGGCAAGAACATGAGTACAAGTAGAAAAAGCCTTACTCACTTTTAACAACTATGGTAGGATAAGCCATCACTCTTTAGCTTGAAAAACAACTGAGAGAAAATTCCTTGTGAATTCCAAACATGTCAAGCATTAGGATTCACAAGTAGATCACTTCAATGATTCTAAAGGCCTTAAGCCTAAACAACAATGAACGAAAAATGTCTTCTAGTAATTGTAGTGGCTTAGTGCCTAAACAACATAAGAAATATAGTTTTTCAACTATCACTAAAGTTATAGAGCATAGGACGAGTTTAAAATTGAAGTACAACATACATTACTAAAAAACTCAAGTTTAAATTGTTTTACCGACAATTTCTTGAGAAAAATCCAAAAAAAAAAAGGAATGGAGTTTGTTTGATATGGAAGACACAATCAACTACTCTAGAATTCTTTCCTTCTAAGCAAATTCTCACTTGGGTTTTTAAAAGACACTTTTTTTAGTAGCGTGTCACAATTTTTCTAGGCATACATAAATAGGAAAATTAGGCACTTATAACTTTTGTTTTTGACTCTAGTTTAAAGAAAGTTAAAGTCAGTCTTAGTGAAGAATAAATTGAGGAACTATTCACCCAAATCTTATGAGGCTTTAATAGAAGCAAAATTATAATTAAAACATTGTGTTGTCTCAAGACTTTGATCCAAAGTCCTTTAGCATTAACTACTACTCATATACAGTTTTCTTCTATGCATATTACAAGAGCTTATAAGACTCAAACAAGACTCATAAAATTGAAAATTTGGAAATAGTTATCATGAACCACTATAACCGTTCAAACCACTTTATGTTTAGTACACTTAAATGAATTAATCAAAGCTTATCTATTATATAAAGAGAGCTTGCAAACACTGTTTAGTGTGAAAGTTATCACTCTCCTATAGATTCTGAGAGCATTCACATAACATCTAGCCCCATAAGGAGAAATCAAGGGCAATCACATGAAATATGCCCTATATCCTCTAAAATGAGGTATAGACAAAGAACAAATATACAAGTGAATAGACATGAAAATTCATTTTTCAAACTAGTTAAGCAAACTAAATTGTTAAAGGAAATACTCATCACTTTAGGCATGAAACACCTTTTGCAAGGTGTGAACCACCCTTTGTGAGACGTAAACATCCTTACAAAAGATAATTCCTAGATAGTCAATATTTTGCATATAGGCAAAATTATACAATTATTAGAATAAGAGTTGTAACTCAATTTTTGCCTATGTTTGGAATATATAAATCACCTTATGTGTTAATTGAGTTTTTGCCAGACAAAGCAGTTGAGAGGCTTCATGCTATAAACATGGAATAGAGAGTTATAGAACTTGTTGTTAGGCAAATGCATCAATCTTGGAGACACACTTTGATCTTTAAAGAGCTAGAATAAACTTAAAGATATTAGATAAGGGTTTTGTTTAAAAAGGTGAAATAACCTTAAACACTTCCAAAAATTTTGAAATACATTGCAAAGCTAAAAATTTATCATACAAGCTTGAACAAAGATTTGTATTGACCATAATTGCCTGTTGGCGAATATGCTAGAGAAAACTTTACCTTAAAAAACAATTTTTGTCTATATCTAAAGCAAAATCTTCCACGAATTAGTTATCATATGTTTGAAAAGCTATCTAAAGTCATTCCACAAGCAAATTGATCTAGAACAACTATCATGTGCTAAATAATTTAACTCTTGTATTGATTATATAATGAAATTTCACGGATTGATCTCCATGCCCCATTCAAATTAGTCCCTAGTGTTGAACCATTTAAAAGAGGTTTGCTCAAGATTTGCCAAGAACAATTGAATACTCTTTTTAATTCTATAGTTATAAGGGCAAGGTTGGTTATAAGCCAAAGTAGGCAAACTACTCTAGAATTGGGTATTATGTGCCAGAGACTTTGCACTAAATTAATCTTAACTACACTAAACATAAGCAAAAAGGCGAAGACTTCCTGCACACATAGGTGGAGAGATTAAGGATTGATGACCCTCTACTATCCTGATAAAAGTTGAATGGGGGAATTAGGGTAGACAAAATAAGAATGTTTACTAGCAATTCACCACACCTATCATAAGATACATTTTTCTTATAGAATTAGATGGAAGTTGTCTGATCTCCACTCTGTGTGACTAGGCAAAAGTATAAAAAAGCAAAAACTAAACTATTTTGTATACTTAATTATGCCAACAAATGATAGATTTAACAAAATTACTTAAATAGCTCAATGAATTACCGAGTGAAATACTTGACAGTATTCTGCTCAAGGCATATAGAAGTCTGACTCTTGGTACCTTTATTATTGTCAAAAAAGGTGTGATAATACACTTAGATTACTTTGTAGGTACATAGTGTAATCAAGACTTATATCTAGGAGTTACCTATACAAAAATAAAATAGCACTAGGATTCTTCCTAGATAGAGAGATAGTTTGTCTATCCGAGTTAGATGCAAATTTTGAGTATTATAACTTGCAAATGATTTAAAAAATTTTACCTACTAGACAATTGCTATAATTCTATGCAATCTTAGGCAAAGACATTATTATAGGAACTTTAATGGTCCACAATAAAGCTTAGATACCCATAGGTAGAAATACACTTATTGATAATTGGGCTAATAGATGTTAGATCAATTCTAAATTTAGATTGATAGGCAACAAAATTTTGTGGAGTTAAAATCTTTTAAAGTGGACCACACTTAAGTAAGACAGATATGCTATGAAAAATAATATTTGTTGCTCGAGAAATTCCTAGAACTCTTGTATAAGCAATGTTCTAGACATTTGGCCTCTAAAGGAAAGCCATCCCTATTTCAAAATTGATTGAGAAGTTAAATGTTTGCTCATAAGAATGATTGATAAGCCAATTTACAAAGGGAATTAATTCATACCAAAACTTTGTACCACTCACTCCACGAACGAGGCATAATAACTAGGCTTGCCATAATAACAATGCCAACAAACCTGGAAATATATAGGCATAGACTAACAATTGATCTTACCTATAAAGCTTTAAAAGGAATAGTCCCTATATATAAAATTATCACTGTATAAGGTAATAGATATACAATATTTCCCTTACAATTTGAATAGTAGAAGGTAGTCTGAAAAGAAGTATTCACAAGATCTAAAACGAGATTATAGAGTACTTGCTCATGATATTTGCAATCTTGACCTCCCTTCATAACAAACTAAATCATTACTTAACCAAATTAAAGAAAAATTTGAAAGAGAGTGAGCTGAAAGCATATTAAGTACACCTCAATGAAAAGGAAATTAAAAATCCCAATACGACTTTGATGGTCATCCAAAATACGTAAATCCATATGCTATTCTCTTTGGCAGCATTGGCACATAGAAAATGCCTCTACTTCAACTGAGAGTAGTGGAACACAAAACAATTAAAGTGATACTCTATAAAAGGCAGATTAGTTAAATTTATAAACCCTCTAACGATGATTTAGGTTCTTTATGAACCAAATACCTATTTTGTCTATATTAGTTGCAAAATAGAGCATTTTCTATCAAATTGCAATGAACATGATGGCAATTGCAGGAATAGCAATAAATACCATCATCACATATCCATCTTTTTCTAGGATTAAAGGAAAAGACCCACAACTGTATATTGAGAAATACATAGAAGCAATTAAGCTTAATCAAGTAGATAGACAGGAAAAAATCTTTTCCGCTATACACTAAAAAGCAAAGCCAAAGATTAGTATTATAATAATGATGTCAAAAAGCTTGGCACATTTGATAAATAGACAAAAAATTTCTTTAAAGATTTTTTCATGGAAACAAACCCAGGAGAAAATTATAATGA